TTGGTGCCAACATTTCATAGGTGCTTGCTGCCTCCAGCATCAGGGTGATAAAGGCAGTAAATACCTCTAAAACATCAGTTAATTTATATCAGACTTCAGAGTGCAAAATCCCGAAGGCAGCCATCTTCACTGTCGGATGTCTGAAAAAAGGCGAGGGTTACTTTACCATCAAACAAAACAAAACTCAATTACTGCCAAATGGTGAGCTTCAAAGTGCCATTCTGCGATCATACTTTTGTTAGTGTTTGTAATATCTCTGCAGCCAGAAGCAGACTGGTCACATTACAACTACTTAAGTAATGGTCAAGTATAGCAGAGACGTCTTGGTATTACATTATCAATGCATATACTTTCAGCTTCAAACTAAACATTTATAATATACAAACTGGGGATTTAAACCCCAGCACCATGAAGCTGCTGGTTGGTACAGAACACTGTGGTTAACAGTTTAGTGGTATGCTACTGCAAAGCATGGTCTGCTCGGCATTGCATACTATGTGACACAATTCATAAAGTTTAATGTATCGATAGAAGGTACTTCTTGCATTCAGAAACTATTCAGTAAACAATGAGAAAAGAAAAGAAATTAAAATTTTTCCAATATAACCTTGGTAACAGACACTCTCAAAGAGGATGCCACTCACCCTATTAGGCATAAGCAGTAAAGATTGACCTTTCTTGGCCTCACCAGCTTCCACTTTTCCCATGACTACCATGCCCATGTCTTTGTATTTATCCACTACAGGCATTACAAATGGACCGCCCATCTTACGGTTCAGCGATGGAAGTTTATCAATGAAGGGAATAAAAGCATCACCTCTGAAAAAATGGTATTAAATAAGACTACAAACCTAAACACAAATACAAAATCAAAGTCAAGTTTCACAAAATTAAGCAGCTCTTCAAAGTAGTCTTTATAAATAAATATTAAAAGGTAGAAGATAAAACTGTCAACGTTCCTAAGCACCTCGTAATGAAGGTATATACAGCACATAGAAGTAAAGGTTTGTGCATTTCAGATATTGGCTCTAGACAGACTGCAGATGCTTTGCCACTGAGGATACCCTGGTGCCCAGTGGGGGAAGAGGCTGGACCATGGAACTTGTCTGTATAAGGAAGCCCTGCTATTTCATACCAGAATTCAATGCCATAGCCAGTCACTGAGTGAGCTGTTCCAACTCTTATTACTATTATTCAGATTAAACAAGGATGCACACTATATGTAAGATGCTTAGGTGACTGTATAGCATATTACAAAATCACAGTGCCTAAATAAGAGACAGTTACCTGTACCATGGACATAATTTTTCATCAAGTGGATCCTTGAGGCCAAGACCTGTGAGTCCTGAACAAGGCATGAAGGTTAGGTCCTTCTGAGGGTTGAAGCCCAGCTTGCGCAGATATGGCATGATCTTGTCTCTGCACTCATTGTAGCGTGCCTCTGACCATTCCACTGTTGGATCATCCATCTTGTTTACTAATACCACCAAATGTTTCACACCAGCTGTTTTAGCTAGCATGGCATGTTCTCGTGTCTGGCCGCCTCTGTCAAATCCAGTTTCAAATTCACCTTTACGTGCAGAAATCACCTGCACAAAGGTAACAGTTGCATGCTTTAACAAGATCACACATTACAACAATTAAAAATGTAAATACATGCATTAAATTACAGGAACCACCTTTGTACTTCAGTTCCAGAGAAACAAAATTCTCCTGCTCACTGCACATTCCAAGTCTCATACCAACATACACAAACCAGTCAGATAAAGAGAGCACAATTATAATTATAAGCATTTTATTCCCTTTTAAGAAAAAGTTCTTTATGGGAGTATGTTAACAGCTAGCCCCAAGATGCTCTACACAATAGGACAATATACAATCCAACCAACAAATCAAATAATGCACATCACGAAGCACATACTTTTCTGAGCAGTCAATAGTACTCCAGTAATCAAGAAATATGCCATCTTTTATGGAGGTGGAAGGTATATTAACATGCTCACAAGGTCTAGACACTGGCCCTTATCCTGAGTCAGCCAAGTCTAACTGAAAGCCTAACATCTTCAAAGCCCATTTCTTAATACCATTTTAATAATTTCCTCCCATACTGTCTTTTTCCTTCAGGCTTTCTGACTAAATTCTTATATGCACTTCTCATCATTTCAAAGAATGCTCTATGGCCTGCCTACCTCATTATTTGTCATTTTATCTCACTAGTTAAGTATAAATGGTCTCACCAACACAGCCAGATCTGCTTGCGCTGCTCCGCCTATCATATTGGGCACAAAGCTCTTATGACCTGGTGCATCCAAGATGGTGAAATGCTTTCTCTCTGTTTCAAAGTATGCCCGGCCAACTTCCACCGTTTTACCCTTCTCCCGTTCTGAAACACCATATAAAATATTATTATTCGCAAAGTACGTAACAGAAATTAAGTACATAAATTACTAATACCAATATTGTGTAACTGCAATGAGTTACATTAGCTATACATGTATTTTGGAGTTACCGACAAAACTTACAGCAAGCATGTCCTCAAAGTTATTAAAAAATAAATAAAAATAAAAAAGGGAGACGAGAAAAAAGAAAAACGATTAAGGTGAATAAAGGCACCAACTGATTGCTTACTAGTCTTGAAGTTGGCTCTACTGCTCTGGTGCAACTGTCAACAAATTAAACAACAGAAATTAAACCAAAACTTAACCTAAATTTTTCATAGTAGCATTTCCTTCACTAGCAAAAACAGGTGAAGCAAGGTGGAGTACTACAGCAACAATCCTGTCAGTCGTACGAGACTGGGAATCACTCTCAAGAACTTGCCATCCGCTCAATGTTAAAATTATCAAAAATAATGTGTGAAGGTTTATGTAGGAAACATCAGTTTCTCAAGGATGGCTTTGGGTCACGGTGTGACGTTTGTTAGCTAAACGCCTGAGTGGTACACAAACAGCCATCAAGTTCTCTAAGAGACTATAATTCATTCTGTTGTCTCACCTTCCTGGTTAGTGTCCAAAGCCCATGATAAGTACCACGTCTCACGGCTCTTCTCTTTTGCTTCTCTCTCATATTTCTCCAGTGTTCTCTTGTCTACCATGCCTGTCAGGTTCATGATTTGCCCCCCAATAGTTGACTTTCCTGCATCTGTAAGAACAAACACTTCAAAATTAGTTGAAAGCATTTATATTAGACAAGGGTCTTCACACTTTAGCGTCATGGTCATGAAGGTACAGCTTGGCATTAGGAGATGGGTAGACAGATTCATGCTTCAATCACTTTAATCCTCATATCGACTGGACAGGAGGCCAGGTAAGGTCCCAATGATAATTTAGACGCACTGGAAGTCAAGAGAAAGACCCATACCCTATCACAATATGTAACAAATACTCAAAAATACTGAATATGTTTATATGCCATTAATGAAAATATTTAAATATGCCTTTATTTTATATGCCATTTTATATGCCATTAATGAAAATATTTAAATATGCCTTTATTTTATCATCAATTTTACACGTAAATAAAACATATAGGCACCAAAATTCAGGGGCACCATACCTTTAGACAGGAACTCTGTACAGTTTCATGGAACAGTGAAATTAAATTTGAATCAATTTTGCCTGCAACTTGTTCTGCACTGGGTTTAAACTGATTTTATAATTCTTTCTTTACAATATCCACAGCAACGTCTCAGAAGTCTGCAATGGCAAGACAGCCTTTCAAGTGTGGAATATCTCACTATTAGTAGTCCACCTAAAACCAAATTCAGATGACAAAGAGAAGCTGAGGGTATAATCAAGAAAGGGCTGATTTGTTCAATTCAATGATTAGGCATCAACTCTCAATTTGCAGAAGTAAAGAGATTATTGTTAATAGTTTCAACAGGAGGACACCTCATCAGGAAATGAGTGGATGGTATGATAGTGACATGAAAGGATAAAGCATATAAGTGGGGCTGGTTTCATGTTGAGTAAAGAAGAGAATGGCAAAAACCACAAATCTTGTGATTATTCTGGAATTTTGCTGAAGAGACTAAGAAAAACCATGAAAATATCATACTACCCTGGAAATCACCTGAAAAGACAGGAGGGATACATAACAGTCTTGCATTTATCTATAGAAACAAAGAAAAACTATGAGAAACCTGTCAAGATAAATGCAATGAACAAATTAAAACTGGATGGTTCCTGACAAGTCAAGTGTTCCACCACTAATCTAACCAGTTCAATCAAGAATGGAAAAGTCTTTATCAATTTAGAAGCTTACAGAAACTGCAATTCATTTGCTACTTGGCAACCCTGTCACCCAACTCAACCAGAATATTCTGGACACTACAGGTTGGCTATCACTAACTTGATGGCAGATCACATGCATATCTCACTCTAATGTTTATTACAATTAAAAAAACATGTCCTTGGCAGCCACAAGAACTACTTTTCCCAGGACAACAAATTACCAATGAATGACTGAATGGCTACTTGACCTCAGTAAAGTCACTCAATCTGGGTTCACTTCTGTCCCACACTGCACTAACATTGCTGTGTCACCTAGCAAGATCAACAAAATCAGAAAGATACTACAGGTGAGGCAAGCTTCTTCAAGCTTCCTGAAATGAACATACTGTACATACACAACACAAAACATTTATCTTTTTGACATTTGTAAACCTAGACCTTAAGCTGTGAGGTGGGGTTACACCTCATGGAGTGTGTGATTTCAGAAGTGGGGATGGGGTAGGGCAGTGAATAATTTTAGCCCAAAATCAGTTTTACCTCAAAAACTACATGGATAATTTTATGCAATGACAACCTATTACACGCAGAATTACATAAGACTGTCAGCTGTGAGTTGCAGATTGAAACAGAAATAAAACAAATTATAATCCACTAAATAAATTCACTGAAACTTTGGTCCTATGCTCAGATGAGCAGAAACATATAAACCTGGCATTTGACAGCTCATTTGTTGCTCCACATCAGAATGTTACTTTGTAAGATAAAAATGTATATGAATTTATTGTCATTTCTTACAGATACACTACATTCACTGGCGGCATGCTGAATTCCTTCTGCTAGTTATTACAGTATCAAATGGAAATTTGCAAAAACTGCCTGTTAACCAAATTCTTGGACTGGTTCTAAGACCCTGGAACAGTTTGTCATGCACTGTTCTAATCAACACATTATTATATTCATCTTTAGGACATCATATCACACTCGACTAGTTTCTTTTACATCTTAATGTTTTCATGGCCACTATATCAATATTATTTCAGTCAGATATATGAAACAGGGCAATAAATTATTTTATAGTAAGTTTAATTAATATTAATTTCCAAACATATCAGGAAAGCACAAACTAGACAAACTGGCTTGTCTACATCATCTTTTTGGAATCATAAAACACAAAAATGGCCAAGCAAGTCAATATAATGGTAAACCTACAGACCTGTACATGACTTGAATTTCAGACAAGGCACAAACTAACCTGACTGGGATTTTTCTTCATGTTTTTTTTCAGTCCCTCCAAGTGCATGCTGGAATAATACCTTGATTGCCTCTTTACAAAATCTACTATTTATGGTCACCCTCTCATTTCATTCAACAACACATAACTTCTGTACTTGAACTAGTGATGTTTACATAACCCAAGAAAAAGATTATAATGGGAGTTCAAGACAAATATTTTATTAATTTATTTTGAACTCCTCACATGCCATGTTTCATTACTGACAGAATCCTTAATATCAGAAGTGTGAAATGGACTGTATAATTAGTTTAGAGAGATGATGTGAAGCAACTACTTACAGTGTACATGTACAGGAAATTGATAGAAAGATGGGCACGTTAATTCACGTGTGATTAATTGAATGAGACATGGAAAGACTTGGCCTCAACATATTTTCTACATATCTATGCATGACGTCAAAAATTAGGAGACAGCATGAAAAGAAAGAAACAATAAAAATATATTACTTTTAGTCAATAGTTATAGTACAGTGTTCTAAAATAAACTTGATATAATGACAAAACACATCTGCTAGTCCAACACTACTTACTGCATTCTAGATTTTGGCATCCCACTTGTGCGTGATATAACAAAAGTACATTCAATCAAAACACTGTCATACAACTTTTATAGAACCACATCACATTCCTTTCCAAGGTAAGTGATTCTGTAATATAAATGTTATTTTAACTTCATGTATTAGCACTTATCACAGAATGATATGTGATAAAAATCAATAGGATATGACTTCTCAATAAAGACTCAAGCATACATATAAGGCATAATTCAGCATGTATCTGGAAAAATGTGTTTACAATAACCTACTACAAAAACAGCCTCTAGTAACATATATGCAAGTTATGCGTAAACTATTTCCAATCACCAGCTATGCCCAAATAATTGATAAAACAGTTTAAACATAAATGTTTCCAGTTTCATCATCAAAAGAACATATTACCTGCACACAGAATCATGAATATGACAATGAACATTTCTGGCACCAAAGTTTTACAGAACCCTGGGTGGAACAATTGTGAATGACAACCTGAAAAGGATATGAAAGGAAGCCCTTATGTATGACTGACATCTGCCCGAAGAGAGTGAGGAAAACCATAACAGACCTGTCCTTGAATAGAGTTCAGACCAGGTTCTGCTACTGTACTGTTTAATATTCAGGGCTTAAGGCATCACAGCAGATGAAGAACATGAACTGAAGGTGTTTGAGAACAAAAAAACAGAGGAGAATGTTTGAACCTAAGAAAGCAAAACAAACAGGAGGATGAATAGATTACTTTATGAGAATCAACGTAACTAATGTTCTTTGGCTAATATTATTATATGAATTAATAGAGGAGGAAGGGTTTGGTAGGTTATGCAGCATGCACAAAAGACAGCACACAAGATTTTAGTCAGGAGAATGAGACCACTTCGAAGACTTTGACGCAGACAGGAGGGAAATTTAAAAGCAATCTTAGGGGAACATGGTGCAGGGTGCAGACCAGATTCAACTGGCTAAGAACAGAGTTCAATATGAGGATTTTGTAAACACAAGGATGAATATTCAGAGTCCAAAGTAGGATATTTGACAAATTAAGAAACAATGACATTTGTAAGAAAGACCCTGCACCATGGAATTGGTTTGTAAGTTGGAAAGTAGTAGAGCACTTGCAAGGATTCCCATTTGATAAATGTCCCACATGTAATGAGTTCAGAACACTACTAACACTCCAAAGGTTCAAAGTCCAAATTTTTGGACTAAACTTCTACGCTAGTTCCATCATTACAGCCTATGCCCCTAACATCCATCATCATAGTAGCCTCCCACTTCCTTCTCAGTGTTCCAACCAGACATTTTCCAATAGATAACCCCAATAAAATTCTGCATGCCTTTTCTTATTTTAACAATCCTAGTTACATGCCTGACCAATCACAGGCAAGTGGGACCAAACCAACGACTTAATTTCACTTGAAATCTTTTACATGATGCAAAGGCTTACAAACAGTTCATCTTTTCTGAAAGAATCTAGAGTTTTAACTTAATTTTCATGCCAAGTCACAGATCAAGCAAATACAATACTGTCTTTTCTTTTTCTGAAAAGGCCCAGGTTCAATCCCAGGGCAGTTAATGTGGAATTTCTGAAGATAATTTGATCCCAAGCTCTCAAAACAAGTGTTTTCATCCAACCCTTTTAATATATATTCTGATGACTCCTTAC